CTTCCAAAATGCGACGAGGTGGTTTACATGAAATCCAGTTCGGTCTCATTGTACCCGTCATCATATTTTTGGTCTGATGTTCAAAAATACAAAGACTTAAATCCAATGCTTAACCAATCTTTTGGGAAGTTTGTCCATACAGGAAAGTATGCTTCTAGTACTTTAATAATAAGTTCGTCGAAAAAAATATCGATTTAGTGTCATTACTCTATATTCTCAATGAGACTCATTCTTTACTTTATTAATTTTCTGTGATATGGTTCGCCATCTTGAATCTTTCGCCATTTTGTTTCTTAATGTGTTAAACCGCTGGCTACTATGACCCATGGTGCAGACTAACTTGTATTTGCTTTCAAGTGGTGAACGATGTGAGAGAAACGTTTTAAAGTAATGGTTAAGAAAACTCTTGCTTTTACTGCCGCAAACATAACATTACATTAGATGGATAATAAATACAAGTCCAAACTATAGCTGAAAAATGCAACGTCACATACAGTTTTTATGCTTGACTTGTTCCAAATGGTTGATTCATTGAATTTATTAATGTTTATTTTATTACCAAAGAAATACACTTCCTCTTGCACGTGTTAAAGTGTTTTATGAAACCATGGAAGTCAAATCAAGGGAGGAGTTACGTGCCTACGATATTGAAGATTTTTTTGGTAAGACGGGTGTAAAAAACCCAGTGCTAAAAAACCCAGCTCTAGCTTAGACCCTGATTGTCGCTGGCAGCAGGGTTATCCTCCTACCCTCCTACCCTGCTAGCTATAGAGGCAATTTGTTTATGATTTCTTTTAAATCGAGCATTTATGTGAAACCTTTTTTACATGCCTCCTATAGAAGGGTTAAAATTGCGCACCAAACCACCAATAAATGTCATTTTCCTTGCTATACTGAAATTAATTTCTCTATTGCTGTAGGTGATTTGGGAGGTTTTCTTGGTTTGTGTCTTGGTTGCAGCGTTCTTACTTTGGGTGAAGTCGTCGACGCCATCGTTTCCTGGTGTTTGATGWGCAGGCGCAATAAAAATCGCGTTGTCGATTTCAAAAAGTAATGTCCAGCGATTTACGCTTATCGCTCCAGCGGTCTGCTTCATTACAATGACATTTGACATTTAAACAAGTATTGGCAACAGAAAATACCTTGTATATGTTTTAAATCTAACGTTAACACGAATCTAACACTCATCGCACTTTAGGCACTTTAGGCAAAGATCAATAGATGTATGTTAATAACCTGGCTGCTTTGCCAACTCACTTACAAGTATGTTCATTATTGCTCAAATAATGCGGGCACTTTCTTTAATCAAGCATTATAAAACTCATTAATATTCATAAGGCAAAACACAATAGAAATCATAGCCCATGAAGAGAGTTGTATATTACATACAGATCGCCCGCTCATATTGTATATATTACTTAAACAAACCTAGGACATTTTTGTTTATCACAATATACATATACATACATACACAACAGATTACAAAATAATACAATAGACAAAAATATTGACAGATTTGTGAGTCGCAGTGTGCCACTCTAGATGATCTATATAAGAGTACATGTTGACGGTACTATTATTTATTTAGCTCAAGTCGTAATGTTTTTGTTTTGTTTTGTTTTGTTTTCCTCGTTGGCCATATTTAGATTATTATAAACGACATACGTATAATTACTACGCTTTTAAGCGTAAATTAACATTTCCATTCTTTATTTCTCCTCGATTTTTTGAGGATCTTTTGAAACCAAGCTGGGAGTGATAATCCTATATATCTGCTTAAGCTGCTTACATGAGAACTTACGTGAGAAAGGGTCCCCCTATAGTAGGGATAATTTCTTGTTGCGTTTTAAATCCTCCAGGGAAAAGAAAAAGGATCAACTAGCCTTATATACTACAATTAACTAGAGGTATCCAATCTCATGCAAGCATCCCCTGTGACTAACATGTACGTCCAGATAAATCTGTGTTAGGTGGAGTATAAGATATACTAGACTGAAATCGTTACCAACAGGGTTTTATTATTGAGAAAATAAAAGAGCTGTCCGCATGGAAACTGAGCAATTGTTATTTATATGATTTTTACATACTTTTTTAAAACCTTTTTTTAATCTTGTTTCCACAAGTTTTGAGTATAGAAAATTTATCTTTCACAGTTTCACAGGTTCACAAACTTATCATTTTTTAAGATTCTATGGTGCTTTGTGCAGATCAGGTGACTCATCCCACAGGCACAGAGCTTGGAATCCCGTCAGTAACTGGGGATGACTCGATAGACTTGATCTAAATGAATTCTGTTTTCCAGTCACACAATGAAAGTATAATCATCTAKAATCTTATCCAATCAAATGACGCGTAAATTTTTGTTTTGATTGGTTAACTAAAGATAGGTCTTAGTAAGTATCTTATGGGCAGATCGCCTTGCCTTCGAGATGCATGGAAAGTAGTTCTGGACTTGTTAGAGTACTAAATCCAATTTAAAGCTTTTGGTCTTACATCGGCGAAGACATATTTTTATCCTCAAGCAATTCCTTCACAACATCGGAGCTTTGAGTTCACGGTATCTTTTGATCCAACTCGATGCTGAAAATGATTCATCATCCAACTTCACAACAAAGTCAGTCAGCATCTCTCAAGATTTTGATTCCAAGAATCTTTAAGATTTTGATAAGTTCTTTATTTTTTGGCGGCTTTTTCTCCAAAGCCAAGAAGTGAAAGGTTTTATGCCGCTGTGGCTTTACTTTTTGTGCGTTTTTCATTTTTCCGTTGTGTTTGATGGCGAGGTACCAATATTTTTTGTAGCCACGTGATGTACTGTTGTAGATTAATGAGCGGTATGAGTTGAAGTAATTTTCGTGGTATTTTTCTACGAGGAGAGTCTCGTTGGTTGGTGTGATCTGATGACGTGAAAAAAAAAAAGAATTTGAATTTGAATATTCATGACAACCAAGTGTGTAATGCTTGTGTTTCAGTCAAACGCTGCGACATGCATTAGAAAATCAATGCAGTCACTGAAAAGTAAATGAAAAAGAAATGAAAAAAATATATATAACAAAATACAAACGTGCTTTGAAATTTAAAACATAAATTCATATTCAAGCAAATACAAGAACAAAAATACACGATGCAAAGAAGAAGAAAAAACAGGTGCATGATATGGGTAGTCACGAATTGTAACTAAAAGAATGAGACAGTGAAAGTTCCAACCCTTCCTACTTCCCACCCCCTTCACTTTTTAAATTGTGATCCCTAATGCTGTCAAAGCTTCCCCAATATGTGGGAGTATGAATTTTTTTTTCTGATGTCATCAATGGAGATTGGACAATATTCAATTCAATTTATATTGAAAATCTTATATTTCTTTTTTTCGGATATCTTTTTCTTTGGCATTGCAGTCCCCATATTAATCTTAATACCTGATATTTGTGATGTAATTTAATGGTGCCAATTGCTGTTATCATAGTGATCTATATATTTCTTTCACATCATCTACCCTATATTGTGTGTTTTTTTTTACATTCATAGCGATTGGACTGCTGTTCTAATGGTCAAATGGTTTCTCTAAACAGAAAGACCGACTTGATATAAACAAATAAAAAGGCAAAGTTTGATTTGTGACAACAATTATGCGATTAAATAAACAATGATGATGACTCACCGTTGAGAAGACTCGACCTTTACTATTGATCCCAATGTATCTATTTGTGTCTAAGTTCTTCATTCGTATAGTCTTTAACGCGTACGTTTGAAGTTCAAATTTACCTTTAGTAAAGAGTAAGGAATACTTCATGATCAATAATAATGGATTGATGGATTGATGGATTGATGGA